CCCTCAATCCTACATAAGTACAGGTAACACTATTGTGTCACAGGTAAGACTACTCTAATGTCACAGGTAAGTACAGGTAACACTACTCCAATGTCAAAGGTAAGTACAGGTAACACTAATCTAATGTCACAGGTAAGTACAGGTAACACTACTCCAATGTCACAGGTAAGTACAGATAACACTACTCCAATGTCACAGGTAAGTACAGGTAACACTACTCAAATGTCACAGGTAAGTACAGGTAACACTACTGTAATGTCACAGGTAAGTACAGGTAACACTACTGGAATGTCACAGGTAAGTACAGGTAACACTATTCTAATGTCACAGGCAAGTACAGGTAACACTATTACAGTGTCACAGGTAAGTACAAGTAACAATACTCCAATGTCACAGGTAAGTACAAGAAACAATACTCCAATGTCACAGGTAAGTACAGGTAACACTACTCCAATGTCACAGGTAAGTACATGTAACACTACTCCTTTGTCACAGGTAAGTACAGGTAACACTACTCCTTTGTCACAGGTAAGTACAGGTAACACTACTCCAATGTCACAGGTAAGTACAGTCAACACAACTGTAATGTCACAGGTAATTACAGATAATACTATTACAATGTCACAGGTAATTACAGATAACACTACTCCAATGTCACAGGTAAGTACAGGTAACACTACTCTAATGTCACAGGTAAGTACAGATCATACTACTACAATGTCGCAGGTAATTACAGATAACACTACTTCAATGTCACAGGTAAGTACAGGTAACACTACTCCAATGTCAAAAGTAAGTACAGATAACACTTCTCCACTGTCACAGGTAAGTACAGGTAACACTACTCCAATGTCACGGGTAAGTACAGTCAACACAACTGTAATGTCCAATGTCACAGGTAATTACAGATAACACTTCTCCACTGTCACAGGTAAGTATAGGTAACACTACTCCAATGGCAAAAGTAAGTACAGATAACACTATTCCAATGTCACAGGTAAGTACAGGTAACACAACACCTATGCCACATGTAATTAACCCTGCCTAACAATCTTTGGTACAAGTAATTCTGAATTATATAGATAACCCTGCCCTACATAGTCTTATATATGGGCAATCCTGAATCATACGACCTATTATAAGAATAACCCTGTCTCATACAACCTTTCATAAAGTAACCCTGCCTCATACAAACTTTGGAGTTGATACAGGTAAACCTGCATTTTACAACCTTTCATGCAGGTAAACTCTGCTACATTGATTTGAGTATAATTACATGTTTACCCTGGTATGCTTTGCTTACACCAGAATTAGGAGTATCTAATATTGGGAGAGAATGTATCTCACAATGCTTTAAATTATACACAGGCTCTATCTTATAACTGATAATATGATATCCTGCTTATAATTATATCTTTTCTAGGTACTGAATATTCCCAGTATAAATTCAGTAAAGAAAAAAACGATAATCGTGATACCATCTAACATGAGATATTTATCATCACTATTTTTTTCTGCTCATAATTAATTTTCATAAGCTATAACCCTTGGCAAGTGTCCATATTTGACACCTGGGCTGTTCCTTATGATACTAATTATCACCAGAGACACCCTAATGTAGCCGGTCCCACCTGTTGCAGGTAAGTTCAACATTGACGTCAGAAAATAAAGATCACAAAATTACCTACATGTGCCAGGTGTAGTCAACCAAAACCTATAACTATATATAACTATAAACTTTATTTATATTACAACAATTTGAAACAAGTTATTTCAGTTTATACTAATCACTCGTGACAGCCCGGATGTAAGTGTGCGAGGGATCTTATTGTGGGAAGAAACCAGAATATCGGGGGAAAATCCATGTGGTCGGGCAGGTGACCCTTACCTCTTCAAGTCCGTTCCAGGAGTCAAACCCCTGACGGCTAGGTGAAAGACGAGTGTGTTACCACTGTGCCACCCAACCATCCTAACCAAAACCTTCATGAGGTAGTACTGATTACATAAATAGGACTCCTAATTTGGCCCAACAATTAGAACAAGGAAGAAATGGATAATTTTGAAGCAATTTTTTCCAAATGCCACTTTGTATCGCTTTTTTAACCATAGGTGTCAATTTGTGAATTTTCTAATATTTCAATTGAAATATGGTTCTTAGATCAAAACACTCTCCTTTAAAACAAGTGTTGTGTTTTAAATAACCAAAGATATGACATCTATTCCCTCTGAGAAATCAGGCTTTACTTTTCCAGTTATAGCAACAAGAACATGATGGTAGAGATAGGTTGATGTTCACCCCAGTGTCATATTAACACTTGTGTATTAATTGATTTGTTTCATACCAATACACTTTCAGAGGAACTATTATAAAGATTTATCACATGAACTTGGGAGTATTACATAACTCATTTGTGAAAAAAATGCTCAGGTAGTACAACCTTACAGGACATGTGACCATCATGTGATTGTGATAACTTGAACATTTTCCGGAGCCAGGTAACATAGTTTAATGGCAAAACCAGCAATCATAATAATTGGTAAAATGTAGACAATTAATTTCATATGTATACCTAACTAAATATCACAGTAATTAATTCTGCCTTCAGTTCAACACAGTTCATAGAATTGGAACTAAAAGTATAATATCTCTGTCTGATATGAACGTGTTTACAACTTTTATATAAAAATCTATCAGCATTCATTTGAACTCATGTTGATTTTAACTATTTCAAAATGCAATTATCCATTCATATGACATTGTTTTTCATCTTTGTTTTATTTAGTAATAGGTTGGACTGTTATGGTCGTCTAACTTTCAATTCCTACTCCTAAAAAAGCCTGCTTTGTTATGATAATATATCGATAAATAATACATAATATACCAATAGTTATTATATTTCTATCTGTAAAATAGAATATCAGAATAAGCGGGTTTCTCAGTATACTGCTGGTTACAGCATCATCTAATGGTGTCATGCATGAATCTTCTGCAATAAACAGTTAAAGGGAGATAATCAAAAATTAGTTGATCACTAGTATATCTAGTATGTCTTTGATTTGTATAAATGGAATTTATTTAGGTTGAGCTATATTGTGGCAACACAGCAGTGCTAGACAAACTTCAAGGGACTTTTGGTCAGATAATGTGGGAAAGTTTCCCAGACCAAGGAAACCTTTACTATAATGAATGGTTTTGCACTATTATTCATACCACGAGTACAGATTCATTAAATTTCAATGAAGTTGAAGTCAAATCTCATTTAAAGACATTGTTCCATGCTGGTCTTCATAATTTCACTTAAAGTTTACTTCAGTCACAGATTGTTACGTAACAATGGGGACCGTAGGTAAAAAGCAGATGTGACTTTAAAATTGATGTAAAAATGTCCGTTTTCTACCATATTTGCTTAAAAAATAGATATCACAAAATGATCACTAAAATAACAAAGTCTTAAAGATTCATTTTATAAATCCACATATTAAATGGAATCTCATGTCAGATATTATGTATCAGTAATTATTGAATACATTTATATTCATTGAAGAATCAATCTGCCCCTTCAAAGCTCCTCCCTGATTAAGACACCTGTTCTGAGATTCTCAACACCTTTCAGAAGCAACACATAACAAAAACTTAATCTCCATACCTTACAAACGCAACTGTCTGGGTTATATTATTGGTACATAACAAAAACTTAATCTTCACACCTTCCTTACATGTCTGTCTGGGTCATACTATTGTTTGAAGATTCATATATGTAAGACTAAAGTTTTATCTTTGATCTTCTTCATAGTATACATAAATGCAAAATCTCAATTGCACACTTGGCTTTGTTTGACTGAAAATGCTCAATCCAAACCAAACGGAAACAAATTCTACATAAATGTCTATTTCCCCATACGGTCTAAAAAACATTGATTTTGCCGCATTCACTCAAAAATATTTCCGACCAAATTTGGACCAATTCTTCTCATTCCTGCATATGACAAATTTTAAAGAATTTGTTAAATTACCCATTTTTGGGCTCAATTCCTCAAGCACCAGGGGCCAAGTCCAACCATGCATATAAATTTGGTTTCATTTCCCTGAAGAACACTTCTGACTAAATTTTGTCAAAATACCTTCATACTACCAACATATCTGGTCCCAACCTCTGCCCAAAGATGATCAGGCATACCACTTACACAAAATTGTGCCCCTCTTCACTCAAGGATGCTTCAGACCAAATCTAAATATAATATGATCATTCCTACAAAGGAGAAAGGTTTCAGAGACCCCAGATGCACTGTTTACACAAATTTGATTCCCATTCCCCTAGGGATGTTTCAGACCCGATAACTTTTTAAAGAATCCTGGCATTCCTTCAGAAGAGGGCTTTTATAGAGAATTTACTCTATTTCCATTGGGTCCCAGTTAAAAATAAATATTTAATGTTTCATGTGAACTTATATTGATGTTTTATTGTTTCAGTCATGTTTGACATTAGAGCTATAATGAAACCACGGTGGTCATCATAAAACTTCAGTGCATAGGACTTGTGACTGTATAAATCACGAAGACTGTATTATCAACATGCATGTTAATGATACCTTGAAGTACAAAGTTTAGATTTGAGTACAATAAAGCGAAGTAATGAACGAAACTACATCACACAGCTTGTCTTTGCTATTTGTTTTCATGCACCGCAATACGTAGCAAGGGCCTTATTTGAAATAAATGTCATGAGAAAATTTTGTATCACTACTGCCTAATGATATTTAAATATGTTAATATTAACATAGAAATGTCCCAAATATTTACACTCACTGTTTTTTCACACAAAATATTCTAGAATATTAAAATAAATAATATTACAATAAATATCCAACTTTTAGGATACTCCTGGTTATAATAGTTCACCTCTTGTGTTCATCAGCTCATACACAGTAGCTACATTAGTAAACACTGGTAGTAATATGATGAAATTTGTTTATAAGCATCATTGTGATCATAAACTCACCAGTCTGAAGTCTTTAATCCCACAAACGAGGTAGGGCTGGTCCCGACGGGCATTCTCTAGGTATACACAGTCTGAAAATATCACAAAAAAAAAATTTTGTTAACTGTCTGAAACATCAATGGATATATATCTACATTAAAAAAAAACAATATTTAACAGGTATACAGTGAGTCTTAAATATAGAACAGCATAAAGGGAATACTTCATTTCTTCTGGGAAACTTCACCATTTTATGATTTCACAACATATCTGGAAAGTTTAACTCCTGGAATAAAAAAATCAGTTTTAATTAAAAGTCCACTGATGTAAGGGAGAATCACGTGTCTGCTCTACAGGTGCGATAAACACACAATGCCTACAGAAGCACATTCACAAGACAAATCCAAAATGGATGCTAATGTTTTATAATGACTGGAGTTGTAGGACAAGATGTGACGTGTGATGAGAACCTCAGACACAGGGCCTTACAGCTGCCCGCCGTTCTACCTTAATTACCCCTCACCTCGTCAATCAACCTTTTTGTAATTAACTTCACGTGAAACTCATTGACATTTTCCTATATTCCATGTATTCTGCTGTTACACAATCTTTTAAACTCATAGCAACATCAGCGTTCTCTCATTCACATCCATTTTTTAAATATGCAAATTAAACAGAACATACATTAGGCATCTTTCTCTATTTTCCAGTTTTGAATAATTAGTATTATGTAATACTTTTCCCATTTATAAATAATCTGTATTATGTAATCCAAGGGCTTCTGGAGAAACAGCCATAACAAGGACAGAGGATGATGGCTGACAACGAAGGGACAGCAGGGTTTGAATCATCTACCATCTGATGGCGTTAATACAAGCTACTATTTTTTAAGTTTGTAACCCATAATAATCTTGTCTTCCATCGTTGCTATTCCACCAGCTACAGTCATGGATTAATACAACATTTGCTTAAGACTACACATAACAAGAGATCCCAGAAGAATCTTGCCGGTCGATATGGTATAATCTTTATTGGTTCACAAGTTCTCTACTTTCCCCTTTGCCTCTTAATCATTTGCCAATGAATTTAAAAAAAGAACAAACAAGAATTTTCTGAGAAAGAGGAATAGCAACCCTTGAATGTCAAATGGCCTCTGGTCTGCCACTTGTTTTCAGGAGTGGACACAAAATTAAACGGTGCAAATTGGGACCAGAAGGAACATAAACATTAGGTTTGAGAAATATCTCTCCTGTACTTCTCAAGAGAGACAATTTGCCGATCAGAATCCAACATGGCCACTGTAAATCTGGTTATTTCTTTTACTGATCTGTCTTAAAAATTAAATGGGCACCACTAGGGACCACAAGGAACACACACATTAAGTTTGAGAAATATCCCTTCAGTACTTCCCAAAAAATAGTGACAAACAGGTTTCTTTATGGACGAACAACGGACAGACAATGGAAGGACCATATATGGACAAAGGGTGATTTGAACAACCCAACTAACTGATGTTGATGGGCTAAGCATACAGAAATAAATGTCCTGCTTTCATTTCATCATGGATTCCATCACCTACAAAAGCTCAATGAAACCTCTTTGCATTGAACATTTTACTTAAATTCAATCCACATAGGACAGCACCCATGATTTCTTATGCTAAAAAGGCATCAATACTGAGAGTTGTGATTTATCAACCTAGTCAACCATTGACAGCTTGGTGCGTTTATTTCAACAATCTATCATTAACTCCCAAGATCAACTGGGCTAGAACTTCATATCTTAATCCACCAACCAGTCAAGTAAGCAGCCTGAAATTTCACTAGCCCATTTATCATTTAAAAGTTTTCATGACTCTGAGGTGCATACCGTAATTTCTAAATTATAAGCCGCACCTTGTTTTGTCTTTGAGTCAGGCATGCCACTTACATACTGATGCGGCTTATGTGGACGAAAAGAAAAATCAGCGGGATGGGAAAAAGAAAAAAAATATACCAGTACACCAGTATGAGGCGGTACTGAGACTGTTTACAATTACCTGCCTGTCATGTGTTTGAGACTGAAACAGATCGTCTTGAACAGTCATTTGCAATCAAATACAAGAATATTTGAAGATTTAAATAAAAATAACATTTCCATGGAATTAATTCATCATACCTTTTCATATGAATCATATCATCTGGACTTTCGCAGCTACTTCAAAGCCAAAGTGGTCAAATTCTAGAATGACCGCCATGATTGTTTGCGATATGAATGGCTTTGTCTAACATTCAAGAAGATACAATATGAGACTATAAGAATTTGGTCTGCATGCAAGGGCCTTTGTTAATATCTAACAGTAAAAACATTGGTGACAAGATTATTTAGTGAACTGTACGTAACATCAGGCCCTATATGTATCTGTGCAAAGAAAATCTGTGAAGGCACCCAAGTCAAAACAGCTCGATATTTGCAAATTTACGTTTTCTGAAATACATTAATTAAGTAAAAGATTATCTGTTTGCAAACTTAATTAAATGTTTCACTGAGGATCTTGATAAACTGCCCTCCGTTGTCGGTTATATCAATGAACTTTGGTCAACATAACGGTTACCACTTTGTAAGAACTGCCTTCCATTATCTGTTACTGATATATCAAACATCAACAATAACGGTCACCATATGTAAAGAAAGGGCGTGGCTTATATTCTAGTGTGGCTTATATGTGGGTCAAATCAGGGGGAAAGTTGCTAAGATGTAGGTTATAACCTTGAAAATACAGTAAGCACATATACAAGTGGCAAAATGTGATGAAGTAAAAACTGAAAGTAGGTGATACTTTATCTTCAAAATACAAATAAATAAAAATTCAAACAGGTAGGTGATTTGCATGAAAGATATGGTCTGACCTGTGACCATGACTCCTACTAGCTAAGCATTTTTAGTAAGGAAAGCATAATAAGATATTTACTAGTCATTCCTGCTACCAAATCACTAGCTCAGCTACTGAGTCTACCAGTCTAGGACTGTCAGGTTTTTGTAGGATTTTTCCCCGTTATTAAGAGATAAAGTGCAGATTACTGGGTTTTTTTTATCACATAACTGGCAGAAATTCATACTTTTTTATCTGAACACCATCAACACTCAGGTCAGGAAGCCGATCTCTCCACTAAAAAGTCAATTATTAAAAAAACAGATTTTTCACATGTACAAAATATATCTGCCAAGTAAAAAAACGACAATATGTGATTTACATTTTGGATTCTTGATTAATGACCAATTTTCTGATTGTGATATATGGCCAACCATTATTCCAAACATTATTTAATATCAAATTGTAAGTCTCACCTCCTTTCCTGTAAGTTATCTTGTTTTCTGAAGTGTAGGACAAAATCTGGTCACCTCTCTTGGTGATGAAGCCTGATCCCTGCCATTTTGAGCCTTTGCGGCCCTTCCTCACTGGGACAACAACAATGTCCTCCTGGGTTCTTTCTTGTTGTAATTCCTGTTTTATATATTTCGATTCTCTCCCCTTCCTTTTCTTAGCTGGACTACTGGCATCATTGGTCTCCTTAAGGATCACCCTTGGATCCATGGTGATGTTTAACTCTAGAGAAAATATGAGGTAATACATTTAGAAGTGGTATTTGATTTGTATCTTTGAAGCCAAAATTAAATGCTGACACATGAAGCTGCATTAAATCAGCTTTAACAAGTACTCAGTATTTTCAGGACATTTTCATGCTGAATTCCTAATAATCTATTTTACAATATATGTTACTTATCTCTTCACAGCAAACTTTTTTTATCCTACAATCTTAAAATCAAAACTGTCCTAAAAAATATTCATTCACAACATATTCTAGAAACCAATCAAGTTATAATTTTACAAAATGTCATTGGCAAACACATACACATACTGTAAAATCATTTCAATTCTTTTACCAAAGAATATATTGATAGGATGCTAAATGTTATATCAACAAGTAATGAGTCATTTACATCACTTTAAAAATACAACTTTATCTAAAAACTACATCTCAAGTGCTTAAAAGATCCAACTATATCAACATCAATTTCAACATAATATGTGCATGTTTTTTTGGGTTTTTTTCCCCTCCATACTTAACTCAGGGGAGATAACTTCTGTTGAACAAAGCAAGGTAGTCAATTAAATAAGCTTGGGATTAACTAGTCTGGTGTTTTTTTATCACTGTTGACTGGTTTCATCTGGAACTTCAGGCCCTTTCAGGTCAACAAAGTTAGAAAAGATACCCCAAAGGTACTATAATCAAGGGCACCTCTATATTATGACACACAATTAAAGTCACATATTCATTCTATAAACGTTCTGTGGTATTACCATCAGTTGTTTTAAGACTAGTAAATATTTCAAAATAAATTGACAAAGTCGATACAATACAGACATCAAGTTTCTAAATTGCTCATTAGATAACTATAACAAAGAGAGGCAATCTTTTACTTTTACAGTTTTGTATTTGAAATATAAACATACTGATTTCATGTTGCTCAATATCAGTATGAATTGCTCCGAAGACAGATATGGAAAACGTCCAACACATGTTGAATGTCCTCAGTCAGTTAATCAAGTCAGCAAATCAACATGATTGACAGCTGAACATGACATGCACAATCAATTGCATCACAAACACAACATACCCTCACAGGTAAAGTGAAAGTAAACAAACCTGTGATATTACGGGTACTACAACACAGAGCATGGATAGCAATACAAAAACACAGACTATAATATATGAAGTGGTATTGCAACACCAACAAATCCTTAATACTTAACAATTTTAACATTCATAAGCTGGACAATCCCTTTTAATGACAGGAAACTCGATCCCCAATTGTTCGAAATTTCAAAAAGCCTTCAGATATAAACAAAGATATTAGAATGAGATATCAAAATTTGATATTTACACATTAGCGCATGGTATGCTGTAGTGGAAAGCAAGACTCCAGTTTTGGAGAAAACAAGACATCCAAAGAAAAAAAGCACATAAAACTCATCAATGCCAATCCGTTATAATGCGGATTATATATCATGTCACAAATCTAATATATGTCTGTTTTCAGTGTGGTGGAAACGGTAAGATCCTTTCAAAGTCTGTGGTAGATCATTATTTAGATTATAATTATTAAGATACTATCATAGTCTGTGGTGGAACAGTAAGATCCTATCAGAGTCTGTGGTGCTTTCAAAGTCTAGTGGAACAGCAAAATCATATCAAAGTCTGTGATGGAACAGTAAGGTACAATCAAAGTCTGTGGTGGAACGGTAAGATACTATTAAGTCTGTGGTGGAACAGCAAAATCATATCAAAGTCTATGGTGGAACAGTAAAATCACATCAAAGTCTATGGTGGAACAGTAAGATCCTATCAAAGTCTGTGATGGAACAGTAAGGTACAATCAAAGTCTATGGTGGAACATTAAGGTACAATCAAAGTCTGTGGTGGAACAGTAAGATTATACTAAGTCTATGATGGAAAAATAATATCATATCAAAGGCTGTGGCAGAGAAGCATCAAACAAAGAGTGATTTGGAAATAAGAGGTCACAACAACAGACAATAAATCAACTGACCATGTGATAGAGCTGGTTATGATTTGACAGAGGGACAGCAACTTATTTTACCTGATCTTCGGTCTACATAAGCTATTGGCTTCTAAACCATCTTTGTGATGACTCGCAATAGCAAGCTTGAAAGACATAACTTTAGCATTCGAGACAGTACTGTCTCTGAGGTGGTTCCCGTCAATGGCAGCGTGTAATAAAATGGAATTTCTGTACACTTCTGCTTTGCCAGATGAGGCGTATACTTATCTACTTTTGTTTTTTCAAATGATTATGTAAATGTTTCAAAGCTCTTAAGCACTTTTGCCTTGATTCGAGGTAAGTATTTAAATGGTCGTGTTGTACCTGCCCTTTTCCCACCACTTCATAGATCATTGTCATTGTTCCAAATTTCACAAACCGACCAGTTTTTAAACAAATTTGTGCGATTACACACTAAGCTTGCATGTTTACATAAAATTTACATAATAATAATAAAATAAAGCAATTATTGAGAGGGAACCACTGCTAAAATCGACATTTGTGCAAATGCCGTGTCATATGTCAACACTAACGTTGTGGATTGAGTTTAGAGTAAATGTCGACGTTTCTATTGTAATTTAAGAAGTGAAAATCAGGATTCAATTGTATTACTGATTTTTAAAACCGGTTATATGTTTTCTGTAAACAAATGAAAATAATCGATATGTTAAACGGGATAAAACACGTGGTTATATGACACTGACATGCAAAACAGCTGACGAAAACAGGCAGGTTTACAACATAAACATGCGTTTGTTTACGCTCGACTTCCTACATATTTGCTGTGTGTTGCTGCGGTTCGTTATACACATTACACCAGTTTTTAAATGAAGCCAAATTTACATTTTGCCGTCGATCAGAAACAGTACTTGCTAGCTTCTCTTGAACAAAGACGTGCTACATTCAAGCGGTCCGCCATATTCCATAATCCTGTGCCTGCTCTCCTTTGACCGCGAGGTCACTGGCCAATCAGAGTAACCATCTCCGAGGTCACAAGGGAGGTAATTCACATAAAAAAATGTCAAGTGACGGCAAGGGTGCGCCCGGAAACAGTCAGCGACAAGGACTAAATACCACAGTTAATGCATACGACAGTAGATAATTATTTTTTTACATTAAGTTATGCTGGGAGACATTATTAATTCAACATATGTCAGATTACCATGTTTTATAGATATTTATGTTTAATCTGAAAGCGAAAGTTACAGATTTAAAAAAAAAAAAAAACGAATCTAATATTTCATATATATATGTTAAAACTTTAACATAACTAACTTATAAGCCCAACTTATATTTAACTGCTGAGGGCACAGTGGCTTGTTATTCCATTTAGGTGACCATAATGATAGTTTTGATAATTATTTTTCCTATCATCTGATACGGCCTCAAGTTTACAGAACGTTATTATAGCAAATGAGATATTTGAAAACGCATTATCAGTTATTAGTTCAATGATTTTATGACATGACTTTTTTATTCGAATATATTTTATTGGTGAATGTATACGTCAAAGAAATTTGGCACAAGTTCTTACTAATCCCTCTCCCAACATTACAATTAGTCCCTCTCCCAGCATTACAATACACAATAATTAAACATAAACAATGCCATATAGGTGATGGACGTACACTCACACGAAATCAATTACTATTAAAATCGCTACACCTGTGTCTAATTCGTGATAATAATACCGATAGATATCGGTTATCAGTTTGTATGTAATCCTGCAGAGCGGGTGGTATAGACGATGTTTTCACAGTAAATGCTGATGAAGAAATTATATTTTTTGCAGAATTATCAAATCTTTTCACAAGTTAATTCTGGAGGGGATAAAATTGTTTTATAAGACATTCTAATCTACATCTAGGAAGTTGGTAGTTTTCTGTTTTACGACAGAATAATAACAGTACGATGGACATTTTTATCTTCTCAGAAGCTTTATTTTCCTACTTCCTTCTTCATTGTCCTTTTATTTGCTACGTAGCCAGAATTTGTTGGGGTTTTTTTTTGGAAGTGGTATAGAAAGAGACGATGTAAACACAGAACAGAATCAACACTACAATGTACACCTGTGGTCGAATCGCCAGGTAGAAACCCATATATTATGTTTTTTTCTTCAAGGTTAATAGTTCACAAAATATTTTCATCTTTGTTTATTTCTAACTTATTAAGTTAAAACCCATTATTGGTGAAACCTTTAAGATAACAATACACGACACATCGACCAATGCATGTTTTCAGGAAAATTCTTTTTCCAGTCGAACGCCCGCTCTCGCGGATTATGGTTTCGAGGTCCATTCGGAAATATATGACAATTTGAATGCCCAAAGAATCCTTCTGTGATTTGTTATATAGTGAGCTATTATGGTTTTGAGTAAAACTATTGAATTTTCTGTGCAGGTTCTTAATTAAATATGGTGTCTATTGAGAAAAAACGAATGTTAATTAGACTGCGAATTCACCTGGATAAGATAGCAAAAGGTCAGTTTTACCTGTATTATATAAATCAATTAACTCGAGACTCGCGTTTATTAATATTTTACAAACTAATTAGCGAAAGTTTATTGTCGCCAAAATAAAAAAAAATATAAGGAAACTCAATATTTTATTGTCAGTTTTTTTTTTTATCACGAAATATGATCTTCCCGACCGCTGTTATGAACCCCGCTACTGCTCTATGTAAATTCTGGGTTATATATCACGTTGCTGTTTAAGTTTACAGTTTCCTGTCATCACGCATGTTATGATGTTTAAACTACTTTCATGCTTGCTGGTTTAAGTTTTTGTTTAGTTTCCACATATTTTATTGCCAAGATAAAGACAATAGGATTGGGTACAAGTTAGTACAGCATTATTAAAACCCTCTCCTGTGATACATATTTCAAATATATATAAATTTTGGCCTTACAGGGTAATATGTCTAGCTAACTTATTACAACTGAAGACTGAAGACTAAGGTGTGTGTGTGTG